ACACAATAAATAAATAAATATATATATATATATATATATATATATATATATATTAGTATATTATATATGTCCATGTACATAAACGGACATGTATGTGGACCATCTTCAACTTTAGTTTTGTAATGTGATATGTAGAACACATACTAAAGCAAAGATGTTGAGACACTCGAAAAATTGGAACATGGGCTAGGAGTGCCGTACCTCCTATTGTCAATTAATTGTGGACCAGTCTTTTTTATCAACTAGTAGAGGCAATCTAGTCTGTTAAGATCTTTGATCCCTTTTGTCACTATCATATGGAATGATTCAATGATCATTTTGATGAAACAATTCACATCGCTCTTCCAATATGTAATTATCCTAAGAAATATATAAATGTTCAAGTAGCTTATGCAAATAACTCTAAACTTAAAAATAATAAATAAAAACTATAAACAAGGTAGTTCTATACATTCTCAAAGGGGAGAAAAGAAAAAAGGTAGTTCTACACATTCTTAAAAAAACAAAAATAAAAAAATTTAAAATCAACCACTAAGATCCAGCATACATGTATATATGTATGAAAAAAGAAAAAGAAAAAAGGATTGAAGTAAAGGTGAATGAAATGGGCTTTTTATTCTAAACTCATTCACCCTAAGTACTCAGCATAAGAACCACCATTATCCCTGCACTTGAAACTTCATTTTGCCGCTTTGACTCTTCTACAACCCTTGTAACCCATATACATAATGAGTTATTATAATGTCCAACATCTTTATTAGTAAACACTTCCTTTTGTTTCTTCATCACCTTTCTTCTCAAATTCCTCGGCCACTTTAACAATAATTCAACATTGTAGCTTATAATATACAAGGGATATAATTAAGGAGCACGATAGCGAAAGCAAGCAACGCCGCTTTCATATTGGTTAATTAGTAACTTAATTAACTAGTGCCTCTTATTTATATATATATATCACTATTTTTTTTTATCGATGTCCTTGTAACAAATACTGGTAATGACATCTTGTCGTGGCATGCATGATTCAATGGCAATTATAAGAAAAATTTTATATATAGATTCTTGCTCAAGCACCTTATTTTTTTTAATAATAAAACAATATATATATATATATATATATATATATATATATTAAAATTTATGATACATATCATTTGACTTAATTAATGACATTTAGAATATGTATTATATGAGTTTTGGGCATTTTTTATATTTATATTATGTGAACCAAGAATATCTCGTGCCGAAATTAGAAACTAATTCTTTTTTCAAACATAAACATCACAAATGAATTTTGTCAATTTTAACAAATTTTTTTCTATACTCACAATTAATTAAGAAATTGAGCAACTGTCAACTCAACTATTTAATTAACACTTTTTTTATTATGAATAAATAAAATTGCTCTCTCAATACTAGGTAAATAAATCCTTATGAACTTTTTGGATTTCAAACTTATTTTGAATATCCTTTATCTAATATGTATCTTCACTTTATAAATAATGAATAATAATGATACATGAATATTTTAACAATATATATATAAATATTCATTTAACACTTTCATTTTTTTTCTACCACATCATATATCACTTATTACATTACTCCTCACTGCTTTTATGAGTCTTGTTGTCTCTCATGGTATACTATAGACTATGGACTAACTTTTGGTGTCCACTAGATATTATTAAATAATGGATTGTCAAGCATACAATAACAGCGAAATTCCCCTAGTTATCAAGCATACCAATAATAAATTAATGAAAAATCTTTAAATGACAAAACTCCTTTAACATGGTATGGGTGTTTTAGTTGTTTTTTATATTTCTTAATGCAGAATTCGACAGACAAATTATATTTCATTAATATATTTTGAAATAAATTTAACGAAGAAATATGAAATATATGTCACTTGTTTAAAATTTCTAATTTAAATTAGTTTAATTATCATGTATCACTCATGTAAAAAGAATTATATAGTTAATCAATTAAAAAATATATTTTTGTGTGATTTTTAAGATAATCTTTCCCCCAGCCCTCTTCCATACCCTCCTCTCTCAATTTTTTTACTCGATGTTTATTTAAATGACATACATCTTTTCTCAAATTTTAAAAATTATTTATCTCCCATAAAATGACATTATTAGTTGAAGTGAAAAAAAGAAAAAAATAAAAGTTAATTCATATTTTGTCAATGATATACATGTCTATTATATTAATTGTTTCTAAATTATGTATAATTATTTGTATTCTTCATAAAAAAATTTATTATTCTTCAATTTTGAAAATAATAATTTTTCAATTCATTCTTTGAAATTATTCCTTAAAGTTAATATATTTTTTTTAAATCACAATATGTATAATATTTATAATATAATTTGAGAGTTAAATTTGAGCAAGTGATCAAGTCTCATTCAATTATTTGTATTTGTATCAATAATTTATTCTCTCTTAATATTAATACATAAATAACGTTATTTATATAAGAATTATATGTATCATTTAGATAAATAAATAAGAAAGATTAATATTCACTTAAAAATTAGATAGAAGTGCGTGTAATTCAAAAAGATATAAGTGTAATTTTTCTCTTTTTCTTCCTTCTCTTGAAAGATATTTTGAATCATTGCTATTTTTCAATTGTTTTTTTTTACGTCCATAATTTCTTTGGCAACATTTCGATCGTTTATTTATTTTTTATTGTGTGTATCACTCTATTTTCGTAAAGAGATAAATAATTGACAAATAAAATTAATACTGTCTTAAATTTTAAATTGTGTTAACTTAAAAAAACAAATTTAAAAGTAATAATTATTATAAAATTTATTTTGATGACCACGTGTTAAATCCAATGCAACTCCAACACAAATAAAATATAATATTTTTCTGTCAAACAATATTTGCAATTTTTACATCTGCAAAATATTTCTGAACAAATTATGTTGTTATTTTTTAAAGTAATATTATTTTTTTATATAAATCATCTGACTATGATGATTTAAAATATATTTATTGAGAAGGATAACTATTTTAATAAAATTATATAAAAAAATATATATATATTTATTATATAAAAGCGTTAAACTAGTGTCTTTAAGAGAAACTCCTTGGGAAGCTTGCCATGGTTCTCAGTTCTCAGGACAGGAAGGATAGAAACCAACACGTGGTTGTAGTCTTCCAGAGAGACAATAACTCACAATTATTTCATTCACACTATTTTTAAGTTCTTGGCTTCCGCTAATCCAAGACAAAACAAAACAAAAGAAAACAAAAGAAAACTGTTACAAATGCTCATGTCATCGATGAATGATCAATCAGACAACTACAACCGCTCAACCAAATTTCTATAAAATACTAAAATCATCTAAAACTTGTCATCGTATCATATCATATTTCTAATAATTAATATTAGAAAATATGGGTTGTGCATCCTGTACCTGAATTCAATATTCAGAATGTATGATGATATACTTTTTTCTTATCCGTTAAACGTTTTTTCCTCACTCTCAGCCAACCGTATTTATCTTTACCTTCTCCAAGCAAATAATTTTTATTTTATTAAATTTTTGCCATTTATGGCTGGTACAAGATTTGACCAAAGAAAAGTTCAACTCTATCTCTATGGGCTATCTAGCTGGACCACTTCAAGGTCGTTACTCTCATCCTCGTTTACATCAAACGAACTGTTAATAGGTTCAGAAAGCCTAACCGAGGAGAGAGCCTTGTTGAAATGCTTTGCTTTGGTGCCAAGGTACTCGTTCCAAGTCACTGACCGATAAAGTGCGGGCCTAGTTGGGCCCACTAACTTCACATGTGGACTGATTTCCACGTTTGTTGGGGGCCCATATAGATAAGCAACCGAGAACCGCTGGCGGGTGCGGTTCACCCGCACCCGGTGGACCACACTCGGGTACAACCCGTTTGACAAAATGTGGAGCAGATCGCCCACGTTGATCACCAGCCCTCCGGGAAGCGGCGGCACCGCCACCCACCCTTCACCTTCCTTGAGAACCTGAAGCCCATTCACATTGTTTTGGTGCAGGATTGTGAGCAGAGTGGAGTCCGTGTGTGCGGCTAGACCCATGGCCCGATCCGGATCCGGGCAACTCGGGTAAGAATTCAAATGCAAGGCCGCACAAGCCCCGTCGAATTCCCCTCTCGGCCCAGCCCATTTAATGTCCTCCTTTGAAATCCCAAGTGAAGCCAACACGAGGCACATTAACTTCGCTGCTAGCTTCTCCATGGCTGCTTGATATTCCATCACAATATCACTGCAAATATTTCAAATAAGCCCAAAGAGGAAGGTTTAGAAAGAATAATATCTTTGTTTCTACCCTTCATCACATATCTTATTACGTAGAACCAACATTTCTCTTTAGAAAAGCATAAATAAATCATATATATCTTACACCATTCTTATATATATATATATAT